ATATTATTACATTCCATTATAGTATAATTATTACATCCACGATACATGTATATATATATATATCTATATATCATCATCATATCTAAATTCGGCGATCACACAATTAATTCTTCCGTCCTTGCTCTATCTATTGGATTCCGGGCTGATTATCGGTAATGAACGTGAGCAGCAGATTAGACGTTAGTTGTCGTCGATATTATCATTATTATCGAACGTTATCGAATATTGATGAGTTATATTTTATATTATTATTTTTGTATGTTATTCTTATTACGTGCATATGTGTGTACTGTTAAGAAACATTTTGGCAGTCACAGCATATTTATATAGATATACTCAACAATATCAATAAATTAGTATTTAATATCTATCTTTATTTTACTACATATAAAACCAGTGGCAGTAACACGACTGCGCACCTTTATCTTTTTCTTTGAGTAAACACAAATATTCAAATAATTTTTATATTTTAGATTAACATTAATAATAACTAATACGTAAATAAAAATCTTAATATATCAACAATAATTAAGCGTCAAAGTAGAAATAATACACATATTGTCTATAAAATAAAGAATTAGATTTACTTATAACGACGACAAGTGATAATAATATTAACGTATAGTAAGTCAAAAATAGAAAATAAAATAAAAATAAAGATCACAGTAATTTATTATTACGCGTCAAAAATATATATATATATCAATCATCAGTTCTTATAAACTTTTGCACAAAATGTGGTCCTAATGTCAGTAAATGTTTATTTAAAGAAATTTTGCATTTTTATATTTTTCCAAGTATTTATTATAAGCAATAAATGCACTGAACGAAGCATATCAAGTGTTTCGCCAACACCGGACTTACCTTAATTGGCTCGTGGACGGCGATGACTCGTGAACTGATAGGGGACGGGTGAGGAGTACAAATAATATAATAATAAAGAAAAGTGAATATTGAAACAATATATATAGGCTATGATAAATATGCGAACGTTTATTTACATAAATATAACAATTGAACCCAATATAATAATAATAGAATAATAGCAAGAGCTTTAATAATAATAACAGAAAGATATTTAATAATAATAACATCAAAATATTTAATAATACTAATATCAAAATTGAGGTACCTCAAGGAATAGAGAAAGATGAATTCTTTCATTGACCGGAGCTGGCAGTATCCAGAACTGGATCGAACTCGTTCCGACTCACCGGAACTGGCGAAAGGATGAACGTCGGAGAGTTGATGTTAACAACAACAATATAATAACCAAAACTGGTAAAAGAACAATAAAATGTGTATTCAAAGCCGAACACGTGTTTCTTCAAAAGAGAGCACCAAGACAACACGGACGTCACGAACAACTTGTATGACAACGACCATAATAATAATGAATCGGTCAAGAATGATCGGGTGCGCAACGTCGCAATATCGTCGTAGGCCGTGCGTTCCAGCTGAACGGCGGCCTACGATTTCTCGACCAAGGGGGGTGTCCGAATATTGTACCAACTTGCGCGAACATACTCCCCCCTTGGGAGACGTAGTCTCACAAAACTGGAACCAGAACTAGAACTGGAACTGGAACTGGAACTGAAACTGGAACTCCTTGTTCATGTTAGTGGCTGCTATGGACTCCTCAAGAGAAGGAAGTAGATGGATAACAAAGGAATTCTTAATTACATTTTTTTTTTTTTTTTATAAACAACACAATAAATACAAACGACTGATAAGATATAAAATACAAATAAAAACATACTAATAACGACATAATAATAAAGTGATAATAAAATGCCCCCTTACTCTGCCAGGCCGAGTCACCGGCGCCCATACACCGGTAGCACAACGGTTCAGAACTGAAAGAGTGGCTAAACAATGGGGGTAAGCTGTACATAGGTATATGCATCCTATTCTGTGGGTAAGCGAACCAGCTTAACCACAGGTCTAACCAACGGACCCTGTCCGGTCAGGAGCTTAACAACGCGAACTACATTGTCTTGTCCGGGCAGTAACTCTACGACCCTACCTAGGCGCCAACTTAATGGAGTAGATGAATCCTTTATTAACACTAAATCCCCGACTCTGAGCTGAGTATCGGCGGAGGTCCATTTTGAACGAAGCTGTAGACTATTGAGGTATTCAGAGGACCACCTCTTCCAGAACGCCTGGTAACACTGGTGGAGGAGCTTCCACCTGGAAGTTAAATGACTGGGAGCTTCTAACACGTCTGATTCGGGAACACTCAGCAGCGGTTGTCCTATGAGGAAATGACCTGGTGTCAAACTTTCTAAATCTCCGGGATCTGAAGATAGTGGTGTTAATGGTCTCGAATTTAGGACCGATTCGATTCGACAAACCACTGTCGTAAGTTCCTCGTAGGTTAAGATGTGGGCACCTACCACACGGACCAACAACCTTTTCATGGATCTTACCGCCGCTTCCCAAAGACCCCCGAAGTGTGGAGCACTGGGGGGGTTAAAATGCCAACTGCACGGGAAGTGTGAGCTTAGGTGATCCTGAACCTTTGCATCAGAGAAGAACTTACAGAGCTGTTTTGACGCACCTACAAAATTTGTGCCGCAGTCAGAATAGATGTCGGACGGTAGACCGCGACGCGCCACGAATCGATCCAGCGCAGCTAAAAAGGCGGGTGTAGACAGATCAGAGACTATTTCAAGGTGAACCGCTTTCACCGTCATGCAGACAAACACGGAAATATAAACTTTATACTCTCTGGCCTTCCTAAGCTTGAGCTCTTTCATCAGGAGAGGGCCAGCGAAATCAATGCCTACCTTTGAAAAGGGACGACACTGTAACACCCGTGACGCTGGTAAGTCAGCCATGATTGGTTGTGGATTTACTGCCGATAACCGGACACATATTATACAGTTTTCAATTTCTGAACCGATCACTCGTCTGGCAGACAATATCCAAAACTGTTTCGAAATGAGATACATCACTAGCCGATTGCCAGAGTGGCACGAGAAAACATGCCAATGCCGTACAATCAATCTCGACAAATACGACATTTTTGCTAACAAAATTGGATGTTTCTGGCGGGCTGGAATTTGTGAATTGTTTAATCTACCCCCTACTCGAATAATGCCTTCAGAGTCCAGAAATGGAGATAACCGAGCCAGCTGCTTACATGAAATCCTAGATTTTTGTGACAATTCTTTTCGTAGTGAATGGAGGTAGACGGACTGAGAACACCGAACTATGTTCATTAATGCTTCGTTGAGCTCAACGAATGATATTGGTCCTAATGGCGTAAGCCTTTTCTTACATAACGACACAAACCGTCGTACCCATACAATAACACGGAGCATATGCTGATATGATGAAAATCGGTCAAACCATTCATGATTTTGATCAGAGCTGATCAAAAACGAATTTACTTTTATTTCCGGAAGTTGTTCGATGGGAACCCGAGGCAAATCAAATGGCCAACTTTCAACACTGTTATAAAGGAACCTAGGACCATTCCAGTATAGATTGTGATTTCTGAGTTCCGATGGTTTCAGCCCACGGGACGCGCAATCTGCCGGGTTATCTTCAGACGGCACGTGCAACCATTTGCAATCTGGTAACAACTGGTTAATTTTGTTAATTCGATTAGATACGAAAATTTTGTAAGACACTTGAGGAGTAGTAAGCCACGATAAAACGATAGAAGAATCTGTCCAAGCATAGACTTTCGAAATCATTAACTGAGCTGTTAATGTTTCCCAAACTCGAGCCATCCACCGTGCCAGAAGACCTGCTCCACACAGTTCTAACCTGGGAACTGTCATGTCGTGAAGTGGCGCTAACTTGGTTTTGGATCCTAAGAATCGAATTTTTACCTGACCGTCTGGAGAAACAATACGCAAATAAATAAGAGCGGCGTATCCACGTACCGACGCATCGCAGAACCCACAAAGATTGTAGACGGATCCCAACTGGATTCCTACAAATCGAGGGATGCGAATTAGGGATAGGGAGGGTAAGTCGGACACGAGCTGTGACCACAATTCCTCAATCTCGAGCGGTAGTCTGTCATCCCAAGCTATTCCGGATAGCCATATTAATTGCATTATGTGTTTCGCGAATAACAAGACCGGCGCCAAAAAACCTAACGGGTCATAAATCCTAGCAATAACTGACAGAACCCCACGTTTGGTGTGGACAAATTTTATTGAGCTAAAGTCATAACCTAATGAGTCTTCTTCTGAATTCCAATTTAGACCTAAAACCCGAATAATAGTACCTTCATCGTCGAAAGACAACGTTCCTGAAGCACAATCCTCTCCTGGAATCCCTTCAAGTAGCTCTGGAGTGCTAGAAGACCATTTCTTTAATTCAAACCCATGGTTTTCCAAAGTCTTGACAAGATTATGCCTTAATTCACCAGCTTCATCTAACGTAGCGGCACCAGTGCAGATATCGTCCATATAAGTTTGGAGCCGGAGAGCCTTCTGAACTGAAGGAAACTGTGTACCACAACGATCAGCAATATCATGTAATACTCTTAAGGCCAAGAAAGGAGCGCTGTTAACACCATACGTAACAGTATTAAGCTCGAATTCTTTCAGCGCATCTACTGGAGTAGCTCTCCACAAGATGTGTTGATATCCACGATCATCAGCATTCACCTTAATTTGTCTGTACATCTTACAGATATCGGTTGAGAAAGCGAAGCGATATAACCGAAAACCGAGCAATACATCCACTATATCCCGCTGAAGTTTTGGACCTACATACAAGGTATCATTTAACGATTTGCCTGATGCACTACGAGCCGACGCGTCGAAAACCACACGTAATTTTGACTTCCCGCTTTCCTGTTTCCATACAGCGTGGTGCGGAATAATATACCGACCCGGGTTCTTCGCAACAGACATGTGACCCAACGCCTCGTATTCCTTCATAAAATTACGATAGGCAACACCCAAGTCCTTATTCTGGTTTAATCTTCGTTCCAGATATTCGAAGCGTTGGACCGCAATTTTATGCATACCGTCGAACGTGGGATCCAGCTGATCTCGTCTGAACGGCAATGGCACGCTGTATCGACCCTCTGTATCGATAGTAGACTTGGCGGCAAATCTGTCCTCACAATATCCCTCGTCAGTAAATTGTAGCGGAGCTTCATCTGGCTCTTCCACTTTCCAGAACCGCTCCATCAACGATTCCATAGAAACTGAAAGGGTTGTAAACATACAACACGCATTCAAGTTTCTCTCCTGGAAAACCGGACCAATTAACACCCATCCAAATACTGAGCTGTATGCGGATGGGAGTCCGTGACCTAATTGCCGCTGTTCACCAATCCACACCTGTGGAAATACGTCTGCCCCCAACAGAAGTTCAACCGGAGCTGGTGTATCAAAATGGGGATCTGCGAGTTTCAAATGGGAACAGCTTTCCCTGATTCCGGCAATTAATCGACGGTTCGGCATATCCGCAGTGATGGCGGGTAGCACCCACGCTTTCATTGTTATGACCGGAGCTGTGTCATGACGCGGACGAACAGTTAGATCTACTGTACCTAATACATCCGGAACACTCTGACCAGAGAGCCCTGTCACTGAAGCAGTCCATCTCGACCGCCTAAGACCCAACCGATCTGAACATTTTGCCGTAATTACGCTGATCTGCGATCCCGAATCAATAATTGCCCTGACTGGTTGGATTTCCCCTCCAGAGTCTTTGATAAATACCACTGCTGTACCTAGCAATACCGACGGAGTTGAGCGTGATCCAAATAATACTGCGGGTGACTGTTCAACTGTCTTGTTTTGACTCTGATGAACATCCCTATGAAGTAGTTGATGGTGGCGTCTTTTGCATTTCGGACAGGTTTCCTTGCATTTATTTGACCAATGTAAGCTGCTAAAACACGACATGCATAGTCTATGTTTTGAGACCACCTCATATCTACCATCCACCGTCAGATCTTTGAAGGCCGAACAATTGCTCAAATGATGCGACTCCTTACAATTCGGGCACTCATCAGTTTTAGTAATTGGAGCACCTGAGGACTTGGTGATTGTCAACGACGTAGCTACCGTTGGTTTCTGTGACCACTTCTTCTGCGGTTTCGAGGACGAGCTCTTAGCATTGGTAACGGAAGAAGACCCTCCTGCTAACTGCAATACTTGAATCCGGTTCTTGACAAACTTGAATAAATCCTGAGCCTTTGGGTATTCGTCTTGATTAGTAGTTTCAAATAGTCGACGTGATAGAACTGGAAGAGAACGAAAGGCCACCGAAAATAGCAGAAAATCACCTAAGTTTGGAATTTCTAGCGACTCAAGGATAGCGATATTTTCATCGAATGTGCACAGGAACTTATTTAAGGAAGCAACAGACTCTTGCTGCATTTCCGGAGCAGATAATATAGAATCTATTAGGGAAGACGCCAAACGACGGGGTTGATCGTAACGCTCCACCAGAGCAGCCCAAGCGATTGAATACGTATCATTTGATACCGTTATACCCTTAACCACGTCAGATGCCTCACACTGTAGACAACTTAATAGATAATAAAATTTTTCGATATTCGAAATATTAGACCGACTGTCCACCAAAGCTATAAATCGATCTCGAAACACCGGCCAGTCTGCCAATTCCCCTTCAAAGCGAGGCAAAGGAATTTCGGGTAAACGTACTGAATGAGACGACTGAATTACGGGAGTCACTAAAGCTTGACCCTCGACCGATTTCGATGGGCTGTCTGAACTGCCAGCTGCCTCAGACTCCCTCGCACACCTGGGAGCTTCAAGTGATGACTCGGATTTATTTGAAACAGACGAGAAACGGTTGGCCATAGCTCTGGCCGAGACTAGTATCTCATTTGTCTCCACTTCGACAGAACTCGAAAAATTGTCTTCTTCGCCTAACTCTATTAACGCCTCTAAAACCGCATCGTTTTCGATTACGAATTTTCCCCACAGATCCGTGAGATCATCAACAGCGATTAAAAATTTCTGTCGGGCAATCGGATCTGATTCACCAGACACTCCCAAATCAAAGATAGATTTAATACGGTCAACTACCGTTGCGCGTTTAGCTAACGCGCGCTTTTTGGATCTTTTTGCGCGGTCTTCGTCCATTATGAGGCAAATACCAAATTATAATAAAACCAAAACCCAAAGAGATTATATAAAAATAAATAAAATCCAGCTACAAATGAAACAAAATGACTAGCGATTATGCAAAATAACGAGTAACGTAACAACTATGAAACTATCGAAAACGATAACCGCAAATAGATACACACGAATAAAATAATAACACTGATACGAGCGTATCACTAATATAAACAAATATAATAAATTTGATCAGGTCTGATTAACCGAACGTAAATACCACAACTCGCAATCACGTCTGACGATTAATAATAATTATAAAACGAAATTTAAAAACGTGCAGTGATCGCACCACCAATCACATGACACGTACGCGCGGTGTAAAACAAAATTATATAATAAACATAAGGTAAATACGATAACATGAATAAGACTAATGTATATTGTAAAGAAAATAACTATTATCTCAACGCAAATAATAATATAGGTAGACCAAATATATAATATTAAAACAATCCTATTATGAACATTAATAATATACGCTCTTCTAATATATTAATAGGCACAAAATAATAAACACTACGGACAAGGCGTACCGCGTAATGATAATAATAAACTACTTAATAATTGCGCGATAATATTATGCGTTACCTACGTCGCGACATATTTGATTGCAAAATAAAATATCTTTTATTGTAAGAGACGTTAATACTAATTTAAAATAAAACTGCAAATCTTAATATACTAACTATATTATACCAAGATGACCACCCAAAGTACAGCTTACCCACAAGTTCCCACAGAACACTAATAAAGAAAAAATACAATACTAACCACGCTCTGCTACCAAATGTTTCGCCAACACCGGACTTACCTTAATTGGCTCGTGGACGGCGATGACTCGTGAACTGATAGGGGACGGGTGAGGAGTACAAATAATATAATAATAAAGAAAAGTGAATATTGAAACAATATATATAGGCTATGATAAATATGCGAACGTTTATTTACATAAATATAACAATGAACCCAATATAATAATAATAGAATAATAGCAAGAGCTTTAATAATAATAACAGAAAGATATTTAATAATAATAATACAAAATATTTAATATAATAGCAAATTGAGGTACTCAGGAATAAGAAAGATGAACTTTCATTGACCGGAGCTGGCAGTATCCAGAACTGATCAACTCGTTCCCGACTCACCGGAACTGGCAGATGAACGTGGAGAGTTGAGTGTTAACAAAACAATATAATAACCAAACTGGTAAAGAACCAATAAATGTGATTCAAAGCCGAACACGTGTTTCTTAAAAGAGAGCACCAAGACAACATGAACTTAGCGTCAACGAACATAATAATAATGAATCAGTCAAGAATGATAGGTGCGCAACGTCGTAATATCGTCGAGGCCGCGCGTTCCAGCTGAACGGACGGCCTACGATTTCGACCAGAAACTGAATATTGTACCAACTGCGCGAACAAGTAATATCCAAGAACATTAAATCATACACCATAAAATATCTTCTGTTTTCCTTCTTTCCCCCTACTATTAATTCAAAACTAAGAATATTTCAAATATTTTGGCAAAAATTTTGATAGGCGATTTCAATGCCATTACTTCTCTATGGGAGCATCATCATATGACAATTCAGAGAAAAATTACGAAAGCTTGTAATTCAATTATACCAGCATATATTCTTAAATGGCCCATCTACTGGACAACACCAAAATAAAACCTAAGAATTTTAGATTCATTGTATTTCAACTATCTTATATATAAAATTAACTGTTATTAACTTAAATGATCTTAGCTCTTCTGATGCCAATCTGTCTCCTTAAATAAACTAAGTCTCAAACTATATCCCTGTATATCATTCTTATTACAAGGTTCATAAATAACAATTTGGTTACTTCGATACTAACAAATTAAGCTAGAGTTACACCGGGTGTAATCATTTCTCCCGATTCATTTAGATCATTTATACAGCTGACAAAACTTCTTCAAAACTTTAAATACCATTAGGCCACCTATTAAGACGACACCGCAATTATTTCACAAAGCCTGATTACTGTGTTCTAAATCCAAATGGCGGTGTATTAATAAATCTGTCTAATAATCATTCAAATGTATATATATATATGATTTACTTTTATAATTTCACAGCTACTAAAAGTGTTCATGATATGATTGACTATTTCTTATTTATTATTATTATTTAAAATAAGGCTCAACAGTAATGGTTTTAACCCGTTTGTTTTTACATTTAGTTAACATATAAGTTTAAACTATTTACAATATTTTAATAATATTTGTAAAGTTTAAGAATGCTATAATTTTTAAAGTTTTTCGGTCGACTTTCTATGTTAGATGGCATATTGAGGTTTATTGTGCATTCCGCAATATGAGCTCGATTTAAGTATTTTGTAGAATGTTTCGCATATTGGTTGATGATCTTAGCTGATTAAAATGAGTGTGTGAGCATGAGGATCCAATTCTAACATGGTGATTACTATGTTTAATTTCTATTGAAGCGCTATAAAAGGGTGATATATTTTGATTGTTTAATGCTTTTAAGTTGCAAGTTATATATTGAATCTGTTATCCCATGATGAGGGGCTTTTTATAATGGTAATTTTATGTCATCAAAAATTCATGTTGTTTATTGTAGATAAGGAATTTTTCATCACCAGATCGGCATATTTGACTACTTTTTATTTCTGCAATACCATCGTATAGAAGGTACCACATGCTTAATTATTTATTTTAATTTTTGAATATTGTTGAATACTTTAAGTTATGTATTTTATACAGGATAATTTTTAGAGCTCATAAAGCACTAAAATATGGGTGTCTAGCAATACGCAACGAACATTTTTA